CTAAGTCTATGTGCATATGTGGTTGTGTTCTTGGTTTACCTTAACCGTTATTTGAACTGTGTGCTATTTCCATAAGAAACAGTTTGAGGTGTTCCAACACGTTTTGCTTTGGTTTGGCATCTCTGGAATTGAGAGTTTAATGTGCTAAGACAAGGTATTTGTCAAAGGTAGGTCAAGGAATCATTAGGTTTTAATGGAGGTACTGGAGTAAAAGTTGTCTTGCGTTCTTGTAGAAGAGACTTCGATTCTTTTTACAGAATGACAGGTGTTTTCTCATACCACTATGTTCAGAAAACAATGTTATGTGCAGCGTTCAAAACTCCCATTGTTCTAGGCGCATTTTGCTCTAGGTGCTAAAAAGCGAGCAATTTCTGAGCTCTGGACTCAGCACTGTGCCTAAGATTTCAGATTAAAATCTCCACTCCTGACACTGAGGGTGTGGGAGGAGAAATTCCTGCCTGCTCGACTTCCAAGAAATCACAGCATCAGGCAAGCTGATAGGTTCTGCCTCTCAGCTGGCCTTACAGAAAGGCACCGTTTGGAGGGATCCCTCATAAGAATATTAAGGGGTCTTTGTAGTCTTAAGATGACTAGACCATGTGAAAAATGAATGTAAGACTTTAGCTGCAATTCATTAATTTTCAGCTTTGTGTTCTTGTTATTAAAAAGTGTGCCTAGACATTCCATTGTTGCGCCCATAACCTAGGTTTAAGGTGCCATTTAGCTCCTAGCTTTCATTTCTCAGTTTCTAACACTGGTTATGTGGTTGTCGTATCAGATTTAGGGATGTGTTTATACTTAGCCTTTCCCCCTTCCAGGCAAGCTGATTACGCTTTAATGAGTATATTGGAAGGATGTGATAAGAGCATGCAACTAAACTAATTTTAATTACTAATTTTTTAAAAGATGCTTTGGAAGAAAGAATTAGAAATAAACTAGGATTGGTATAGGATTGAATGAGAATGAGCATAGCATTTTGGCCATTTCCCACTACATTAGTAGTTTTTATTTCTATTGACACTTTCTGATGGAATATTAAGGTCAGCCAGGTTAAGAATGCAGAAGGCCATAATCCAAATCTCATCTGTTAAGACCCTTATCTGCTCTGCTGACATTCGTATGCTACTCTGTTTTGGCTTACCCGGCCGGATGTGTACTAGTATTAGCACCACACTATTGAAGAGAGGCTATAATCATATGACAACTCTACGGTGGAATAAAACACCCCCCACAGATTCAAACAATTATTACATTACAGTCAAATACTGACAGAGAGATGGATTGCATACAGGAAAACAACAGGTAATTCTCCAAGGGCAAAGGGGACTCTAGTCTGCTGATTAAACCTTTTATAGAAACACATGACTAACAGGGTGAATTAATTTAAACAATTGATTTAAGTTGCCAAGGGGGCGAAAGACCAATTTAAGTTTAAAGTTGTAAATACACAGCTATATGATGGGAGTTGATCAGATAGGTCCCAACCATGGAAGTGGTAGTCTGCTGCATGTGTGTGTTGATTCTTTGGAAAGACCCAAGTGATTGGCCCCCATCATGTTATTAAAAAATGGCTAGTGCAATCCTTAAAGGAACCACCAATGGAAGATATTGTGGAGAACAAGCAGTTTGTCCTTCAGCACCATTTTTTTGTGTGTGCCTCTTAAAAACTTTGTTTTGGGTTTCCTTTTTGACAAGCGTGCAGAAAAGTTGGAATGTGCAAGTTCCTTTTGGAGTCTTATGAAGTCCAGTTTATAAAGAGACCTGGATTCCAAATTGATTTCTAAGATTTCCTGAGTGCAGAGGACAGATAAAGAGAGGGGGAGGATTTTTGACAAGTGCAGCCTTTGGAGAGGTTCTGATTGTACCCTCTGTGTCCCATTTGTTTCAATGAGATACAGCTTTTGACTTTGCCTTCTTGTTAGGTTTTTAGGTTGAATTCCTAAGGATTGTGTTGCTCAACGTATCTCAGCAATTTTGTTCTTTAGAATTTAGTCAAGTGTTTCTGAAATTCTTGCTGTTCACATGCTACTTATATTTGGGAGTTCATAACCCATTTCTCCCCTCCCTCACCAAGGAGGAACAAGTTCATTGAAATAATATGGCTTCTCCTGTCTTCCCTATATTCCTGCAATACCTCACAATTTCACCATTAACTATATGTTCATGGAGTTGTTTCCTAGCGAGAGCAATGAGCAGTGCAAATAATTTTAAGTGACCCTGAAAGGGATGGAAAGAGCTATGCTTTCATTTTAGAGGAAAAGAGTTGAGTAGGATTTGTACTCATTTGTTCCTTTCACTGGTTAAAATGTTGAAATATTGAAAACTATTAGACATTAGACTAAAGATGCATTAGACTAAAGATGCGGGAAACATGGCCTATGCAGATGTCAGCTGTGGGTAGTTCTCTAGGTAAACGAAAGTGGTACAACAATACAGGATGCAACTAACTTCTTTTTTTAAAAAGATTTTTATTAAAGTTTTCAAAATATTACAAAGGATGCAACTAACTTCTTACATCTACTCCCAGTTTTCAGGAACCATGAAAATGTGGGTGAGTCAGTTGCATGTAATTAAATATACAGCTTTAACCACACAGCTTACAATGAACTTGTTAACTTTAAATATGAAAGACGGGGTTTTTCAATTAACATATGACATGTGTAACTTTTACTTTCTGGCACGTCAGAGTTGGAGTTTTGATGTTGCAGACAGTCTCTATTGATCCCCCCCTCCCAGTTCATGTTCATAAGTTAATATATGAAAAGTTTCCCTTAAACTGGTGCAAGGTAACCATCTGCCGGGTATTTCAGCAGAACAAGTTGTTCAGCATACCTTTCTCTGCAAAGGACTTGAACCAAAATTGCCTGAAGGGTTTTGTAGCAAATCTTTATAAATAAGCTCAGGTGAGAAACTCTTAAAACAGATGTTAAGTTTCAGAAGCTGCTGTTACTGCAGTTATATGTGGGCATTTCACAGTTCTCCAGTTTTTATCATTTACATAATCTTGTAGCAACAAAGGATCTAGAAAAACCTGATCAGATTCCCTGTTCGCATGCAACACAGGTCAATATTAACTAAAGTATAGGAATTTGGACACCAATTAATGTATAGCCCTTTTGCTTCAGCTAGATGCATGTTCTACGCCATTTCTCCCTTCCTCTAATGCACATCAATGAGAGATGGTATGGTGAGCATTTGCTACTCAGTGTCCTACCGCTTTGAATGTTGATTTAAATGCCTACTATCTTTTAAATGGGTCTTAATAGTCTACCAGTCATTCCCAATGGGTTGGGGGAAAGAAGTGCTATGAAAACATCTGTGATACAGCTATCATAATAGCAGCAATTGTACTGTGCTCTCTAAGGTAGCCTTCACCAAACTAGTGTCCTCCATATGTTTTGGACTACAATTTAAATATTTTTTCTTGGTTTTACTGTTTTATCATTTGTACATCGCTTTGAGGTTTGTTTGTTTGTTTGTTTGGTTGGTTGGTTTTCTTTTTACAATCAAGCGGTGTAAAAATTTTTGTTAAACAAATAAAGCAATTCCGATCAGCTTCAGGCAGCTAGCTTGGGAAGTACAATTTTCTGCAGCGAAATAATTTGCATAATAATGAAAATAGTGCTGGTTATACTTGGCAAATTATTGGCATAATGTTGCTTGCTAATGCTTTTTTCCTTTTTTAATGAGTTTGCTTTGAAGGGTAGGGTGGGGGAGAATTTTATTATTGGACTCAAATGGTCTTTATTGAAGATTTGCTTTAAAAAAAAAGTCAGGTGAGGTTTTATATGACATAGTTGTTATAAAGTTGTGTGCCGCCTCAATTGCCTTTGAGCATAGAAAGGCAAGAAAGATGAATAAATGTAAATGTGAGCCATAGTTTGGGAAAGTCTTTAACCAAATGCATATGATGATGATGATGTCAATGATTTAGTTGTGGTGCATGCTATGTTCTGGTAAAAGTCACAGATAGAAGCCAGTGTTATGCTGACTTTGTCGGTCTGACTTGGTAAAATCCTTATGCATGAACTAACGGAGGCACTTCAATCCTTCTTGGAGGTTTTCGATAAAAGATTGAGCAGGAATCTTCTCACAGGTGCTCAGAGCACAGACTATTCTGTATTACATGATTTCCATTTCATGGCTTGCTCTGAACTGCTGCTTGTCCAGATTTAAAACAGTTAGTATTACATTAATACAGTGGTACCTCGCAAGGCGAATGCCTCGCAAGACAAAAAACTCACTAGACGAAAGGGTTTTTTGTTTTTTGAGCTGCTTCGCAAGACGATTTTCCCTATGGGCTTGCTTCGCAAGACGGAAACGTCTTGCAAGTTTGTTTCCTTTTTCTTAACACCATTAATACAGTTGTGACTTGACTTCGAGGAGCAACTCATAGCACGCTGTGTGATAGCCTTTTTTGAGGTTTTTGAAGACTTTGGTGATTTTTGAAGCTTTTCCAAAACTTTTCCGACACCGTGCTTCGCAAGACGAAAAAAATCGCAAGACGACAAAACTCGCGGAACGAATTAATTTCGTCTTGCGAGGCACCACTGTACTCTTTATAAAAGTCTAGATCTATTGCATTTTAATTAAGGCATTTCTAATGCACAGTGTTTGGTGGTGAAAGTATAGCATAAAACTGTTATATGTGGTACAGGTTTCATGTAAGAAGTATTACTTTGTGGTGTTGGTAGTTTCATTCAGGCGCCCTTTGCGTAAGAGCCCCTTGCCAAGTAGATAGCCCCAATTTCCATACTATCATGGCACATTGTTGGCTACAGCTAGCATAGAAATGGACTCATCCACTTGTTAAACAACTTTTGCTAATTAAATCTTCTGCATAAAGCTGTCCCTGCATGAACACATGTCCACTGTGTTCCTTCATGGGTACCATAATGAGAGACACAAACATCCGCATACATGCAAACTACGCTTGAAAAGCCCCAAAGCCCCAACCACCCAACAATTCAAACAGCTGATATGCTTCTTTTGTGTTTCAGATCGAATTCCATTACCTAGGAATATGATTGAAAACAGCATGTTTGAAGAAGAACCTGATGTGGTTGACCTGGCTAAAGAGCCCTGCTTGCATCCCTTGGAGCCTGACGAAGTGGAGTATGAGCCAAGGAGTTCTCGGCTCCTTGTCCGTGGTCTTGGAGATCACGAAATGGATGAGGATGAAGAGGACTATGAATCGTCAGCCAAACTTCTGGGAATGTCTTTTATGAATAGAAGCACAGGCCTGCGTGGTAACACAGTGGGCTACAGGCAGAATTCAGACGGATCGTGTTCTGCACCGTCTGTAAGGACCACAGTGATTTGTGCTGTTGTTCTTGTGATTGCTGTCTCCGTAATAATGGCAATCTACCTTCTTCCCAAATGTACCTTTACCAAAGAAGGCTGTCATAAGCAAAACCACACAATGGACGATATATATCCTTTGGCAACAAACGGAAAGCCCTTTCCATGGGCAAATTTCAGGCTACCAAGTGCTGTTGTGCCAGTACATTATGATATTGTCTTGCAGCCAAACTTAACCACTATGAAGTTTTGGGGTTCAGTCCAGATAACTGTGAAAGTCCTCCAGGTGACCTGGCATATCATTCTTCACAGCTCAAAACTTAACATTACCAAGGTAACTCTTTCTTCATCAGGCTCAAGCCAGCCAAAGCAAGCCGAGCTTCGGGAATATCCACTGAATGACCAGATTGCAATTTTTGCCCCCGAGGCTCTCCTTGCAGGACAACAATATAACATCAACATGGAGTATTTCTCTAATTTATCAGAAAGTTACTCTGGCTTTTACCGAATCGCTTATAACAATGACAACAGAAATTCAACAAAAAGGTAAAGTTGGGAAATAATGTATTTCTACCTCATTTGTAATATTTTATGGGAGTTGAAGTACAGCAGTATCTGGAAGCTCGCAGGATTCTCACTCATAATTTAAGGAACCTGCCACCTCCTCCTTGAATTTTTTCAAGTGATCTACATAAAGTGTACTGCCCAAGACGAAATTATAAACCTAGTTCAAATCTCTTTGTTACCATAAACCTAGTAGACAGATTTGGACAAGCTATGTTCAATTTTAGACCATGTGCAACATGGAGATGATAACATTGCTTTCCTTAACTGGATTGTTCTAAGAATTACTGAGAGTGTATGCAAAGTGTTTTGAATATTCAAGGCACTCCATAAAATGTTAAGTATGTGTTGAAAAGTTCAAGCATTCTGAACAAGGAAAACTTCTTTTGTAATCTTTTGATGTTGCAGTTGTTGACTGTGCCTTTGGGTCTGGGAATTAAACCTGCTAAAGTGTTCTTCAGGAGTAAAAAGGAAAGTGTTCATCCTCTCCACTAGTTTTTGTTCCTTTAGGTAGAATGCAGGCATATATGTAGACTGTAAACTATGTTTGGTTTTTGTTATCAAGCCTTGATCAAAACCAAATTCTAGAATTCAATCTAGAATTTTTGTTTCAGAGCCAGATCTTTGTGTAGCTTAATCCGTTAGGATACAGCAGATCTTTTGCAAGGTACATTAAGCTAGGGCTAGTATAAGGAACCTAAAAGGTACAGTGGTAGACAACTCCTTAGAGCTTGTTTACAGGTGGCCTGAGAACCTATTTTTAAGATTCATATGCAGTTATGATAAGCATGTATGTGATATGCAGTAATAAGTAATTATTATACATCATAATAAATATGCAGATTCCAAGCATGAGCTGCATTGCCTAATATTCATGTGATCCTAATATTGTAGTAATAAATTTGGCATTTTTTTTGGTACAATTTTTGACAGGGTAGCAGTATTGCCTTTCCTGAACAAATGCATAGGGCTATATAATTTTCCTTTTAAGTATATTTTTCTCAACAGCTAATGGCTAATAATGATAATAGAAAATGGATTTTCTTTTGCTTTTCATCAGGTGGCTTGCAGCAACCCAGTTTGAACCCTTGTCAGCAAGGTCAGCTTTTCCGTGCTTTGATGAACCAGCATTCAAAGCCACTTTCCAAGTCTCTGTCAAGAGAGATAATCAGCATTCTGCATTGTCAAATATGCCAAAGGTAAAATCCTGCCATATTCTTGTTCGTGGGAGATGGGTACCTATGCTGCTATGCTCCACTGGATATATAGCATGGGCACCTCTGGCTGAAGGTGGCCCTCAAGGCCTCTCTACCCGCCCTTGGAATTATCCTGAGGTCATGCCTTACACTGCCTCTGCTCCTTAAGTGCTTTAAACCTGGCTGGAATGTGACCTTGAACTGTGGTGAAGCCTCTTATTCACCTGTATGGAGAGGGAGGGGTGTGTGTGTGTGTGTGAGAGAGAGAGAGAGAGAGAGAGACCTCTGGCTCTTGCATGGTTGTAATGTAGCCCTACTGTAGAAAGTTAAGAGTTGGAACCACTGTCCTGCCCATGTCTGTCTGTGGCCGGCCTACCTGCAGCCCCCAGAATGCTGTCTATCAGAGGATCTGTTTCACAAGCTGAAAAAGGCTTCGAGCCACTGGTATATAATATATGCCTCAGAATACTAGTGGCTGGTGATCACAAACTGGAGAACACCTTTGCGTTTTCCATGTGGTATTCCCGTAAGCATCTCATTGCCCACTATGGGAACAGAATGCCCGACTAGATGGGACTTTGCTCTTATATTCTTAATAATGTGCTTATGGTTGTTGGCACAAAACAGCTGTTTAGTTCATCACATGACAGGGCATTCCATGCTTTGCCTTTGCTTTTATGATGCAGAAAAATGTGAATATGTTGGCATTGTGTGGCTATAGGGAACTTGGAAACAAAAGAGCCATACAAAAAGTCCTTTTTCCCACAAAGGCCAGCTGGATGCCTCTGAGAAGTCCACAAGCTGGTTATGAAGGCAATAGCCTTCTCCTGCTTGCTCCCAAAATCTGGTGTTGCATTTGGTAACCCCTTCACTTTCCATTGGAAGGTTAAATGCAGTAAGGTCTATGATTTTCCAACTGGGAAATGTGGTACAGTACTTGGTTCTCTGTGCTGTTATGGTAGCTGTGTATAGTTCTTTGGTTGCTATTTATGGTGCTGGGTGGGGTGAAATGGAAAAGCACGGCAGCACCATTTTGCCCATGTTCTTTAAGATCCAGGAGACCCAGAAGGTGAAGAACCAGTGGCAGCAAGATGATGTTGGACACCCAATTCCTATCAGCCCCCCAGCCAGTCCAGCAACATCTGTAGAGCTGCAGGTTCTCTACCCCTGCTTGAGACAAATGGAGTTAGGGAGGAAGCATTTATGAAATTGATGGAACAGGGAACAGGACTCAGCCATAGCAATCAAGAAGTCAGTTAAATCTCAGACAGGTGTTGGTGCTCTCTATATAAAAGGTAAAGGGACCGCCGACCGTTGGGTCCAGTCATGGACGACTCTGGGGTTGCAGCGCTCATCTCGCTTTATTGGGTGAGGGAGCCGGCGTACAGCTTCCGGGTCATGTGGCCAGCATGACTAAGCTGCTTCTGGCAAACCAGAACGCTCACGGAAACACCGTTTACCTTCCCGCCGGAGTGGTACCTATTTATCTATTTGCACTTTGACGTGTTTTCAAACTGCTAGGTTGGCAGGAGCTGGGACCAAGCAACGGGAGCTCACCCTGTTGCGGGGATTCGAACTGCCGACCTTCTGATCGGCAAGCCCTAGGCTGAGTGGTTTAGACCACAGTGCCACCCGTGTGGTGTTGGTGTTCTCTATATACCTATACCAAGTTTTTTGTCTTCTGGTTCTGGCCAGACATTTAAAAAAATGTGGTTTGAGAAGCAATCCGCAGATAGGATATCTCTCTGCAGTGTGTCTTCTAGGGAGGCCCAACTGATGAGATATGAATCCGGGATTCATTACATTTGTTTTAGTCTGTTAGATATAATGTCTGTGTGTATCAGTAAATTAGCCTCATTCTATGTATGTGTATAGGACTGCCGCATCAAAACTGTAGGGGCAAAAGTGGGAGTTGAGCGCGTACGAGTTTTTCCTAATCCTTTGCTTATCTTTTTATCTTTTTTTTTGCAAGCTATTCATGGTCCGTTTGCCACTGCTTCTTGGTCCATTCTGCAGCTTCGGCACAGTTTTTCTTAAAAAATAAGAGCAGCTTGCTTAGGCAGCAGAGGTCATACAAGGAGTGTAATGTCATGGAGTGTAATGTCATGTAGCCATGAAGCTATTCAGGTTTGACTAAAGGATATTATGAAACCACATCAGAGTGAGCTCAGGAAGCATTGCCTTCTGTCCGAATTGACTTTGTGGTGATATCACAGAGCTAAATTAATTGTGTGACATCACTACAGAGCCAAAACTGAGAGAGTGTCCTAACTCTTCTGGTGAACATTTCTCCCCTGTTTCAACTACTTTTCATGGAACAGACAGAAAAAAGGGTGCCTTACCCTGGGGGTGAAGTTTTTCATAAAACATGTTGCCAACTATTTAGTTTCAGTCATCATAATACTAATTGCAAACCATTGGGCAATACAGGCCTAGGGAAATATCGATATGCAACACTTAACATTTTGCATATTAATTCCAGTTCTAGCCTGTATATATTTTGCATCACTCTATATTTTTTTTACTGTGTCAACACAGGGTAAGCATCTTTGAGCTTTACTCTTGCCCCAGGGCCTCTAGGTTTCTATTAAACACTTACATTTTGTTTGTGTTTCCAGAAAGCAACCAAATCTCTGGCAGATGGATTGGTTCAAGATGAGTTCTATCCAAGTGTGAAAATGAGCACTTACCTAGTAGCTATCATCGTTGGAAACTTGGCAAATCGCACCAAGGAAACAAATGGGATTCAGGTATGCGTTCCTTTAGCTCTTGAGCGTAAGCTTTTTCATTCTCAGAATTTTCAGGAAGTACCCTTTCTGTGAATTGAAGAAAGCTGTGTCCCCTCCCTTCTGCCAGCATACACTGTCTGAAGTAGGTTGTGGTTTTCTGGCCTAGACCCACCAGAACCAGCCAGCTCTGCTGCTGCTTGCTTGTTTCAAATTACTATGAAGGAATCTCAAAGTTCAGCTAAACCAAATAAGCCACATAGGTATATATTTGTGAACTGCCGCAGGTGGGGCAGTGGTATTACAAATAACCTTGCAGAAGGAAGGGTAGCTTCTTCCTTGGGTCGTTTTTCCTGGGTGTGGCCACAAACTCGCTGCTGACCCAAATATGAAGTTTTGTGTGTCGGAGCCATAAACTCATATTTAGCTCTGTAGAGTCTCAGTTGGTAGTAGCAGCCTATGGGGTATAGCATAGTCGTGGAGCTGCACTCCTGACACCTGCTTCACTGCAGCGTATCTGGGAGGCAGCAAGGTCAGGGCTGCGCAGGTACCCTGGTCTCTACTTGGTCCACACATGCAATGCAGGCCTCTACTGCTTTGCCTTGCCTCAGCCCTATCCAGGTAAGCTAATGTGATGCTAGTGTCAGGAAGGCAGCTCTGCCTTGCCACAGAAGCTGCTACTGCCAATTGTGAAGGCAGCTTTTGATTTCCCGTGTATTCTCTTTTTTTAATCTCTGGAATAATAACCACTTCTGGTGGATTGTTAGTGGTGGCTCATTGGGGGGGGGGGGTAGAAGCACATGCACCCCCCTGGGCTCATTGAGAAGACGATGGGGATGAGCTCAGGGGTCCTCTAGGAGGGCAGTATCCATCCAGGGGGTGTGCACACCTGTGGAGCAGCCACAACCGAATCAAAGGTTCCCCAAGGACACAAAGCCACATCCCTGTCCCAGTAAACCCAGTACAACCACTGGGAGGATGCCGCTGCCTCCCCCCTCTCTTCCTCCGACCATGAGCCACCAGTGTTGCTGGTGGAGTCACTCAGAAAGTAGCATAAAGCTAAAGCATGAACAAGGTTGTATTTACACAGTAGAAGCTGTTCAGAACTTCGGAACTCTTTAGAAATGTCCCGATGTTGTTTGCATTACGTTTTATTGCCTTGTTTAACAAGTAAGCTCTAAGGTGGTTCTCAGCCATAAAACACAGAAATCGGTTCTTTGAGCTGCCTTGCAAATGCTGCCTTTGCCAAGTGCTTTAGTAAAACTGTGTTCATAAGAGCATTTTTCTCACTTAAAAACTATCAGTGAAGCATATGCGTCTCGTGGGATTTTCAGTTTCATATTCTCTCTCCCCACCCCCCACCCCTTTCCTTTCTTCCACTGTGATAGGTATCTGTCTATTCTGTGCCACAAAAGTTGAACCATACTGAATATGCCTTAGACACAGCAGTGGAGCTCCTCAAGTTTTATCAGAAGTATTTTAATATAACATACCCGCTTCAAAAATTAGGTGAGATGCTTTATATTCTTGTGAGTTTGCATCTGTTTCATATATTCTTATGAGTTTGTTTTTAACCTAGTTTTTAATAGTATAAAGGTAGAGGAGAATTAATCACTGTAACATGGGGAAATAGTTAATTACATAACTAAAATTAAGTGGAGTCCTTGTTACGTTGTTTGAGAGAGTGCATATGTTTCCTATGTTCATTGAGAGTTGTGGGACTCATTAAATGTATAAACAAAATGGGCATAGGTTTGCAAGTGGCGCCACGATGTTGAGCATGGAACATGGACATGTTCTATGAGCTTAAAGTTTAGCCTGTTTGACTAGGTTTTTTTTAAAATTAAACTTGGTAAGTTTTTTTCATTTTAGTACTGGTTTATTTAAAAACTGGTGCCTTGTTCTTCACCTAGACTTGGTAGCTCTTCCTGACTTTGAGGCTGGAGCAATGGAAAACTGGGGTTTGATCACTTTTCGAGAGACAACACTCCTTCATGAGGACACGACATCGTCAGCCATGGATAAAAAGAGAGTAACAAGAGTGATTGCTCATGAGCTGGCACACCAGGTATGAAGGATCTCCCAATTTCTTCCTGTACTGCAGGATTTTCTCTTTTTTAAAAAAATTCATTGCAGTTCTGATTCATGCTGCTTACAAGAAAGCTTGCCTTTTCTCATTTTCTGCTAAGATAATTAGGCTGCATCTTTTGCACCGCTAATAGGAAGTAGTTTCACTCTCCCTTCCCCCTGCCTCAAATGAAAATGACTGTGTCTGTGCACTCGTGATGGAGCAATGCTTTTGAGACAGCCCTAGAGTGATTATATTTCCTCACGCTGCAAATTTGTCCAGACAGCATATAAGGAAGACAGAGCAACTGCAAGCTAGTTGGTTTTTTTTTAAAAATCTAATTTGACTACACGCTGTAACTCTTTGTACTAGGAGCAATGGAAAAGCATGATGGGATATGAACTGCTGATGTGCGTTATCTGCAATTGCCAAGTGGTGGTTGGGGGGGGGCAGGGTGGATAAAAAGCAATGTTTTTTTATTTTAAAAAATATGATTTTTAAAAATTTAACTTGGGTTTTTAAAATAAAATGCTTTTGGAGGAAAAATCTTTCTAAAGATAATTTTCTATTTAAGTTACATTATAGTCCAAAGGCTATTCATCAGGAAATAAGGATTTGTTTTAAGTTTTTCATGTGTGCTAAAACTCAGCCTAAGTTTTTTTTTTTTTTTTAAAATCGTTTAACCATATCAGTTAATCAACATGGATACATATGCTATAATGTTATTGTTTCAGTTGTTTAAATTGTTATTAAGGAAATTGTTATTTTTCTCCTTCCAATAAAGTACAACAGAAAAGTTGTCCGAATATAAACAGTTAACTTATTAAACCTCACAATAATTTCATAATTATCTATGTGTTTCTAATAGTATAACCACATCAGTAATTTTTGATATAACTGTAAAAACTACTCTGAAAATTTTTTATTCCAAAAATGAAACCTTCATCTGGTTGTAAATATTAAGATTATACCAGCAAGAATGAGTCTTTCTGTAAAAAAAATGATTTAAATCAAGTCTTACTGACTAGTGATTTAAATCGTGATTTAAATCAATTCGATTTAAACCAAATCCACCCTGGGGGGGATGTAAAATTTCTTTTCACAAGCACTCTTGCAGTTTAAATTAAAACAATTAAATGAGCAATTTTAAAAATATGTATATACAATATTTATTTACATTCAGATTTGTGTTTTGGGTTAACTGGGTGGTTAGGCCAATTTGCAGCAGCATGCCCCACTGAATGCTGCTGAAATGTTTGTTTCACATTCATGCACGATAAGCTGCCAGTATAAACATCTATGCAGCTGTGATGTGGGTTTTCCTGAGCTGAGAAAATGCATGTAGCCCCACATGTCAAGGCAGTATGGGCTGTTTTACTGCTTCCTGTTGATGAAGATGATTGATGAAGACGGTTTGTTTCCCAATATGAAACCTTCATATCTATCTTGCATAGCTCCTTGAACGCTCTTTAAAATCTTTATTCTTATACATAATCCGTGGATTTATCTTTGGGCACGTTATCTAATAATGGGAATATGTATTTCCTTTGCATTCTTAGTGGTTTGGCAATCTGGTAACTATGGAATGGTGGAACGACCTGTGGCTGAATGAAGGATTTGCCACTTTTATGGAAAATTTTGCCTTGAAGAAAGTCTTCCCAGAATTATATACTGTAAGTGCAGTGAATGGTTGTGTGCAAAGTTTTTTTTAACTTGGCATAATCTGCTTTGGACTCAGACTTCGTAGTTATACTTTGTTTTTAGGGGTTCTATTGTTCGAAGGAAAGAAAAATCCTTGCTTTTGAAGCACTTGTAGTAAAATTCTAGCCATGGTGGAGTTTACCATACAGTGGTACCTCGGGTTAAGTACTTAATTCGTTCTGGAAGTCCGTTCTTAACCTGAAACTGTTCTTAACCTGAAGCACCACTTTAGCTAATGGGGCCTCCTGCTGCTGCCGTGCCGCCAGAGCACGATTTCTGTTCTCATCCTGAAGCAAAGTTCTTAACCCGAGGTACTATTTCTGGGTTAGCAGAGTCTGTAACCTGAAGCATCTGTAACCTGAGGTACCACTGTATATATGGAATTCAACACACACACACACACACACACACACACACACAGAGTGTGTTTATTGGATAGCTCAGTTGGTAGACCATGAGACTCTTAATCTCAGGGTTGAGGGTTCGAGACCCACATTAGGCAAAGAATTCCTGCATTGCAGAGGGTTGGACTAGATGACCCTCGTGGTCCCTTCCAACTCTAGGATTATTTTTTAAAGCGTATTTAGGCTCCTTTTTAGGGCCTAACCCATTGAAGGCAACTTCAGTAATGCACACCTGGAGTATGAGAGTGTGAGCACAAGTGTGTGACTGGTTGAGAAGAGAGTGTTGTATGTCTGCATCTGGTGCTTGTATGGTGGTAACAATAAGAGAGAGGAATAGGGGCACATGCATTTTTGTTTTCCCCAGCTCATTTTTGCTTGCCTACCCTTGGTACATGCACCCCTGAAGTGTTGGTTAAGTTTGTATCTGGGCCTTGGGTTAAAATAGTTTCCCGACCCCAGTTTTTACAGGCTTATAAACAAGTCAAGAATTGCTTGGAGAAAACTGCACACATTGGTGCCCTGAAGAAATAAAACTTCACCACTTGGTGGTGCCAGATTGCTTTAAAGAATGCACATTTTCTTTGTGGGCGACGGAAAACTTACCAACTTGATTTGTACTATTGACTATCTTCTCCTTGACCTTTTCTGCTCTCCTATGAATGGTCACCTGGGGTTGAACTTGGACATTGTGTCCAGGCCTCTGCATCTGAAGGGTTTGCCAATGGACGGTGCATTGAGGAACAGGCCCTAACAGTTTATGCAGAAATCTTGAGTGTAGAATGAATTATAATAGACAGCCCTTTGGCATTTCATAGCTTACCTGTTTCATTCAGTAAATTGTAAAGTGGAAACATAAAATATAGTCCATATCTTACAGCTGAAGTACACAATCTAAAATCCAAATCAGCTATAGTCCTCATACTGCTAATCTAGCTCTTTATTGCTAACACCTTGTTCAATATTGTTCTGGCTCAGTATTTCAATCTTATGCATCATATGCTGGAAAGCGAGTTTCAGCACACTTGGAAATAAATTCCACTGTGTTCAGGGGAGCTTGTTTCCTGGTCATTACATTCAGAACTGCATTGTTGGTGTGACTTGGGGGCAGGTGCTGTTGCATTCAGGTCCTGCTGGCAGTTTTCCATGGGTATCAGGTTGTCCACTGTAAGAACAGACTGCTGAACTAGATGGACTGTTGGACAGGGCCAGTTGTAAATCTTCAAAGGCACACCAGTATCTAGAAGGGACTGTGTACAAGATAACTATTTCTCCAGATCTCCAGTTCTGATGACAGTACTTACAGACTGGTCAAATTCCTCATGTTAGCATCTACTTGAGTTCACTTAAACTTTTTCCTGTTCTTCAGGATTACTCTTTCCCAAATCTGCAATTCAAGACAATGGAGAAAGATTCCATGAATTCATCTCATCCCATCTCCCTTGCCGTCCAGTCGTCAGAGGAGATCGAGCAAATGTTTGATGCCGTCTCCTATATCAAGGTAACTTCAAAAGTGCTGGCAAATGTGCTTCTAATAAAATTAAACGCGCTTGAAAAGTTCGCACAAATATGTTTCAAATCACATTCCTGACGTGGGCAGCAGCAGGTCAGGCCCTGAAAGGTGGGGGGGGGAGTGTTTGCAGGGTGAGAGGACCATATAATGGAAACCTTTCGCACCAACATGAGCAATTTTTAATCAGAAATTTTAGCTCAACAAGAATTGGTTAGGAACGTTCCCTTTCCTCAGTGGAGGGGGGGAAACGGAATGTTGTTTCTTACATGCGTTTGCCCTGAAATATCAATCCGTTGTTTCTGAGCATTTTAAGACACGACTAGAAGATCAGATGCACTTCATAGACTTGCTGTCCTTACACTCTGTATCCATTTTCAGAATGTGATGCAGGGGTAGCCTTAAATGCTTTGAATTCCAACCCCCATAAGCCCCAGGCAGCATGGGCAATGGTTGGGATAATGAGAATTGTGCTCCAATATATCTGGAGGGCCGGAAGCTCCCCATCCCTGGGATAGTTCTCAACCTTCATCAGAGTTCAAAACTAACCAGTTAGTTTGAAAACTTTGAGCTATGCATGGTTACTGTTGGTTAACCAGGGTGTCTTGCCATATTGTCTTACACTGAACGTAACCGAAAGACTTTATAATCTGAACGAATAGGAGAGGCATTGCATGCTCTTTTTGTAGTTCATGAAAATCTTTAATAAAAAATATTTTAAAAGCCAAAGAAGAAGAGGGAGGGAGGCCACAAATCTCTGTGCCCCCCTCAATTCTTTAACTGTGGTTAAAAGGATGACATCTACACTAAGCCATCATTTATAAATATTTAGATTGAATTTTGCTAGTTCCTGTTTTCAGTTAATCCTCATAATTATCCACCATAAAACTCTTTGTTTCTAAACTTCTGTTTTCCCTTTTTGTAAACACTGTTTTGATTCAGAGAAGGAGCTCTTTGCTTAGGTTTAATGCAGTTTTGATAAAATCAGGTGTGTATTCTTTCAAGACTAGATGCAACACTGTTTCTTTTCACAAGGTGGGATTTTGCAAATAAAAGGCTATTCATACACACCCTTGAATATTTGTAAACGTATAAAAGGGAATTGGTATCTGTATAGATGATGACTTCGCTAGATATACATAATGGTTTAAATTCACATAATAAATGTGTAGAAAGCAGATGTATGTGAACTGATACTTTTTCATCTGCTATTTCCAATCAGTCCCAGTCATTTGTGGCCAGATCACATCTTGTTCAGATTTGAGGAATAGCTAAGACCAGCTTTTACCCTCCCATCTGTAAGCATGGCCAGAGGTGAAGTTTCGTTCACATCTCGAGCTGTTGATATGGAAGGGAGGGGAATTATAATATTGGGGGCACGTTATCCTTTTTGAGCCTTTATCTTTATATTCAGCCATTTCCAGCTGCTTGTGATCTTGAGGCCCTGCAGACATCTGGAAGAGGGAGAGGAGGAACACATACAAAAGCATGGTGGAAACTAATTATATAACTCCCTGTGGCAGCCACTTCTGTAGCCATTTCTGTATTCCTGGCTTTAACCACATGGAGTTTCTTAATACCACTGCAACTCCTGATAGTCAGTTACTTAGCTCTCCCTTCCTACAGTTTCCACAAACAAGCATTCAGAAACATACTTTCTCCAACTGTGAAGGGAGTGTATAGCCATCATGGCTGGTAGCTGCTGATGTTTTCTCCATGAATTCGTTCTAATTTTCTTTTAAAGCCATCTATATAGTGGCCCAAGTACCTTTTCCTCAGCAAGGAAAAAGAAAAAGCCAGTTGGTATGCTCTGTTGTAAACGGAAACTGAAAACATGGCCATTGCATGTCAAATAGGTATGTGATCTATTTTTCTCTTTACAGGGAGCTTCTCTCTTGTCAATGTTGAAAAACTATCTCCACAGTGATATCTTCCAAGCTAGTATTCAGTTATATCTGCATGACCACAGCTATGGGTCCACCCAAAGTGATGACTTGTGGGATAGCATGAATCAGGTAAAACTCTTGAACCAGGGGAGGGGAAGTGAACAAAGGTTTATTGATGCTACTTAGGTTGGCCAACGCTGAACTGTTCTGCAAAGTGTGCCATGATGGATTTTGCTGGGAGCTCATCCACATGTCTGCTTATCCTGGCTCTTCCCCCTGGGAAAACCCGCTGAATTGGAACAGGCGTCCATTGGTTTTTTCTGTGAATTGACATTCTGATTCAGTGATAAACAGCAGGTTTTGCCCGGAAAAGTGATGGGACAAATGGGGGGGGGGGACTGCTTTGATCTATGCTTAGGAAGCTTAGGTCAAGTGGGAAATTTCTCAGACCGCTGCTTTCTATGCATAGGACAAGCCCTGTCCCTATCAGTGCCACAGTAATCAGCATGAAACCATAGTAGAATGGCAAATAGCATGTTTATTAATATATATCCTTTAGTAACCCTGCAATTTCAGAGCCAACCTTTTCTAAACATGGGTTCTCTTGTACCTTACCGTGCCAAAAGGCAAGAATGTGAACAGTAGAAAAAATATATCTTTGCCTGCATACATGAATTATTTTTAATTCGATTGTAATTGTTAGCCTCTCTGAAAACCCTTGTTTATTGTTGAAGAGTGTTGTTTAAATTTATTTAAATGAAATGTGTACATGTACATAACGCGGTCAAATATTATTCCCATTTTGCAGATAGGAAGCTGAGCAAGTTACTGAGCCCAGAGGCTCCGTATAAGTCTGGCAGACCATTCTTACTAGATATAGGTGACTGTTCCCCTGATTAACTTGCAAGGGGGAGAAAAGAGGGACCCAATCTGTGGGTGGAATTTACTCTTGGAACTCTGGGTCTAAGCCAATCGCTTAATGTGGCTTGGCAGGATTTTCTTTTCCTCTCTTGCCCCATTCCCTGCCAGCCCCCCACTCCAAAAATCAGTAAATAATAACAATAAACATTCTGTGGCATTTAAAATGTGTCTGTGGGAGGGGGCTTATTATGTGTTTGTATTTTTATGTTGTGAACCACTCTGTGGTCTTTGGATAAAGGGTGGTATGAAAACTTAATAAAGGGCAGTATATGAAAATTTAATAAATAAATAATAAATGCTCAGTGGCTGTTCAGCCATTCAGGAATGTGCTTATGAGCACAGCTTGAAAGCAGAGGTGTAAATAGAGCATTAAAACAGCTACAAAGTTGATTTTTGCTTGCTCTCTTGTTGGCTTCCACAAGTCTATAGGTAGCCTGCCTAGCTTCTTGCTCCCTCTCTCTTGCGAAAATGATTGCCTCCTTGTTTTAGTTTCCCCCCAAAGACAGTAGATTAGAAGAAGTCATTAGTAATGCTCTGCTTTTGGCCAACAACCAAGAAGCAGCCTGTGGCCTTCAAACAACTTCCCCCTTTAGTCCTTCTTGTTTTCCTCATGAAGAGTTAGCTTAGGCCTTCCTAAGACAGGCCTCTCTCTAGAAAACTGAGCCACATTCCAAATATAATTTTCTGAAATTAAAATTTCAACTCTTAAATGGGAAGTTTACTGTGTTGTGACCCAAGATCCATGGTCCTTTTCTGTTGTCTCTCAGAAGGGCAAAGAGAGCCCTCCTAAAGATGACCTGCAGTTTAGTGCTTTGACTTTTTCTCAGTTTCTTGCTTTTCTCAAATGCTTCCACTGCATAGCTGAAGCAGTGTGGAAATAGGAAGGTAGAGTTCACTTCCTGGACTTTTCTCTTCTTAAAAAAAAAGGAACTTGTATTATCAAACTATCACTGATAAACTTGGCAGTTACAATTCTGTTTAACTACTTAAAACCCTGGTTTCACAAGGGTCCTTGTTTAGTGAATTGATTAGGCAGCTGTTGAAGGTATCCCATAATATATTCTTCCTCAAAAGTTGATTTTTCCTGTGCTTTCCTAGGTGATAAATGACACCCATGTCGATATAAAAAAATCATGAAGACCTGGACTCTCCAGAAAGGATTTCCTTTGGTGACTGTCAAAAGAGAAGGCAAACTGATTCATCTGCAGCAGGAGCCATTTGTGCACAATGTGGAATTGGAAAATCAGACCGTACCTGCCAGGTTTATTTCTTTTTTCCTTATATTTAAATTTGGGTGATTTAACTCTGCAGACAGTGTTTTAGCTTACGGAGTGAGACTGCCGAATACTTACTGCTGATGGCAAATAAATCCACTGAGGTGTGGTGTAAATATCAAGCTGAGTGATACACGGTCCAGCACATCTGCCCAGGTTGGGAGAGAGCAGTTGGAAATGATAGGAACTTGTTGGAAGGGTAGGTTGGAGAATAGTAGCTCGTTCATCTTCTAGTACACCCTAGATCTGTTTTGAAACATGGATTAGAGGGACAGTGACAAGATAGAGATGGAAGGTGGGCCTATAAATTGATGAGGAAGAAGACACTTTTGGACATGAAGGTGGGTTTATACCACCCACATAGGAGTGTCTGGGTTGCTGATGAATCTATTGGACATGAGCTCCACTCTTTGCTGTTCTTTTTACACACGTATTATATCAACATTTTGTGGCAGAAACCTAGTTCAAGGAAGTATATTTTTCGACTAGCCAAGGTTGCTGGCATTGGCAAGGAGATTAAATTGGGGGGGGGGAGACATAATGGTTTGTGACATAAAATAAAGGTGGAGTATTAAACTGGAGGCGTTTTGTACATTCAGAGTTGCACAAAAGTGCAAATGATGGCCCCAGTCTTGTGAAGAGCAGCTGAGGTTGCACATGCAGAGTCATTTTTAAAAAGCTAAAACCCAGCTATTAGGTAAAAAGAGGGGAGGTGGCTACTGTGATTTTTCACATCTCTTTCTTTGCCTGAAACGCAGAATGGCCCAAATATTGTATAGTTGGAGAATTTCTTAACACGTCACTGCTGATTGTGGCAATTGAATGTCTTCGTGAAAAGAACCTTGTGTTATTTGAATGACACTTAAGGCCAATTGCTACTTACAAATATATGCAGAAAAGCAGAATGGGAGGATAAAATTGATTGATTTTAAGTGTATTACATACCGTGAACATAAGAGCTCCTTGTAGATCCGTGGTTTTGTGTGTGCATTTGTACAAAACTGATTTGCTTCTACAAAAGCAAATTGCTTAGTGAACCTGTAAAGCACAAGATTTGTAGGCACAGGTTTGGTCTTGATCTTTATAACTGTACCCTCAACTAATTCTGTTAAGTTTAATAAACAATGCTTCTGCACACAAACATAGAAAGAACTATCAGTACAGTGGTACCTCGGGTTAAGAACTTAATTCGTTCTGGAGGACTGTTCTTAACCTGAAGCTGTTCTTAACCTGAAGACCACTTTAGCTAATGGGGCCTCCTGCTGCCGCTGCGCTGCCACTGCATGATTTCTGTTCTCATTCTGAAGCTAAGTTCTTAACCCGAGGTAATATTTCTGGGTTAGCGGAGTCTGTAACCTGAAGTGTATGTAACCAGAGGTACTACTGTATCTGTTTTTTTCTTTTAAGCTACAGTGCATAAGCAAACTCGGCCCTCCAGATGTTTTGGAACTACAATTCCCAGAATTCCTGACCACTGGTCCTGTTAGCTAGGGATCATGGGAGTTGTAGTACCAAAACATCTGGAGGGCCGAGTTTGCCTATGTTTGGGATAAGCAATCTTTAACACTGTGTAAACACTTTCTCCTCTTCCAGTTATTTGTGGAGCATTCCTCTTTCTTATACCACCAGCAATGACAGCTTACCCTACAGTTCTCACAATTATTTACTGCAGCAAAAGTCAGGTATGTATGTTTTTGAAGGCTTTTGTCCTCCCAGATGGTAAAGTCAACCAATGCACAAATACGTTCTTAATGTGGAATAGTTTTCCCCTGGAGAGTTTCCAGAGCCAAATGATGAGCATCTTTCAGAAGCATCATCGTTGATCTTTGATGGCTAGTGTTGGAACAAGGGTAGGGGGCTTTTTAGGGTTTAATTTCTGTAAAATAAATGATCAGTGTTCAGAGCTTATAGTTAAGAAAGAAAGTGTATATGCCCTCATTATTTTCGGTCTGCAATACAATTTATTTACTTCATTTACATAATTTGTTTACAGTCAAAACACTTTTTGGGGGGGCATGGTTAGGAAAGGGGGGCATACCAAAATGATTATTTTCTTAGTTGTAACACGCTAAGCATTTTAGGATTTTAAGCCTCTGAACTAGTACAATTTCTGTAGCAACTAAATTCTGTAGCTTCTGACTGGTTACACCTTGTTAACCAAGAGTGCATGCAATTCAGGTTTTCCTAAAACCACATGCTCCCCAGAAAATTGTTAGGCAAGCGTTTGCATGATGGGCTGAAATAATTTCCATTATTTTCCAAGAGAACATTTTAACTCCATGCTTTCTACTTCCATGCTTTCTGCCTGAAACTGCTGCAGCCAATCAGCAGAAGGCAGATAAAGATTTGTCCATTCTCTCATGCTCCCTGATTTGTCCAATTTTTCTCCCTCCCTGCATAGTTTCTCCCCAAAATGGCTCCTGGCCACCAGCAAAACACAAACAATTAAGGAAGTGAATTAAGCAAACTCTATCTGTTTGGATATCTGAACCAGCAGTTTCTATAGTGAGGTTTAGGTATAATTCTTTGTGTTCAGATAACGAAGATTTTGGATGAGTGTTCTGATAGCGGGCCCTGTGTATTTCTGTCCCTCACAGAATAACTGTGGCCAATAAAAATTCGTCCTAGATTTTTAGCGGTAGTAATCTTTTTTTTTACATTTGGATACATTTTGTCCCTCCCCCCTCTCCCCCAAATATCACTAATTTTCAGGTGCATTTTATTTGAATAGTGTTCCCTCCCTGACTTTACTAGTGCTCACTTCTGATTTGGCTGTTCATGAGTTGGTGTATGTTAGAACAAGGAAATGTCTCACCTTATTATTATTATTATTATTTATTTATTAATATTATTTTACTGGCGGTACTTGTATATGACTTTGGGAACTTGAGAAAGTTGAAGCATAACATGATAAAAATACTTTTTAATAGTAAAGCATGGGTAGGATTTATACCCCGAAAAATGGAATATAAATAATTGCAAGAAACAAATCGTTTAAATTGCGTTAGCTTCTGGTGTCTATAGAAGATAATTTTTAACCAAGATTGCAACCAAAGTTTAGAACATGAGACTTGAAAATATACATTTTCCCAGTTTGGATTAATCATGAGCCAATCCCAAATCTCTTCAAAGGTCAAACACAGCTTAACATTAGTACGACCTTCTTTCCCTCGGACATTAACGTGGTAGCAGCAGTGAGGAGTAGTTGAAATGGCCTTCATTTGTTAGGTGCCAGGATGCCTGGAAATTGCAGCTTCTTTTAGATCCTTGGTAATTGTACTTTCCAAAAATCCTGCTACCAAAGCATATTCTCAGCAGCATCCCAGCACCAGGATTTATGGAAAGTAATTTCTCAAGGCTTATATTTCTTGACAAGGCTTTGGAAACCTTGGAAATCTACGATACCCTAGAAGCAAATTGTCTGGGACTGTGTTCCTGTAGCATCTAGGGGCAAATGAAGACTGAAGTCTTTCTGTACTGCTGCCAGGCAAGGCTTTTATGTTTTTGTTGTTTTGGAGGGGGCGGTCAAGAAGAGTTTGGGTTGGGAAGGCCTCCAGGCCTGCTCTATTTTCTCAGTGGATGAGGCAGCTTAGGATGGGTTGGAGAGGAAGTTTTGCATTCCCAGTGACATCAGTAGTCTAGTCAAACCTAGAGTCCAGAATGGGTCTGAGCATAAAATGAACTCAGTGGTCCATCACGAGTAGTTGGTTTTTTTTAACTAGGTTAGGATGTGAAAAAGCAAAACTAGCTCATCTAAATAGGGGTCTTCCAGCTGCTTTAGGACTGCAGTTCCCATCATCCCTGACCACTGGTCCTGCTAGCTAGGGATGATGGGAGTTGTAGTCCAAAAACAGCTGGAGACCCAAGTTTGGGAAACCTTGATCTAAATGAATAAATGCTGTTAAGCCCGAAAAGGACTTATGCGACTCTCAGCTAATTAGTGAGCTGTTCTCCTTGTGCGCCTCCCTTGAGACAAACAGTTCTTTGATGTGTAGCCTAAACCTACCTTCTGTTTGCCTGGAGGTACATTCTTGGATATAGCAGACCTGCTTCATGGTAGAAATTGGAATTAAGTTTGTAATGGATAGCTTTCTGTAACCTGGCTCCTCTAAAATATAAAAGGATGGGGCAATGGTGCCAACCACAGAGACTCAAGTAATTCACTTCTGGACAGATACATTTCTATAATTGAAAACTGGTTTCCAGAGAAGATGAAAGCAGCGTGTGTTAAAAATATATACATATCCCACTGCCAAAATCCAGGCTGCTGCATAGTTGAGAAGTTAAATATGCTAATGAAAAGCAGTAAACCTATTTTAAGGAGAAAGGGTTTAAACCAATGCCTTCCACAACATTTTCTGGAAAAAGCATGCAAAAATGTACTGTTGGTAGGTAAGTTGACTTACAAAATATATCTTTGTACCGGGATTAACTTTAGAAAGCTTTATACAAGGATGGGATTCCTACCCCTTTTTTATATAGTGTGAGGTGAAATGCAAGACTGGATTCAACACATTAATATGCCTATCAAATGTGCTAAGTTCTCTGCAGTTGATTCTTTTTTTCTGGCCCATGTGGCCATTCAGCAGATAAATAAAACTGAGTACTTCCTGTCACCTCTGTAGGTTGAGAGGGAGTGATCCCATTGGAGGTCTCTGCCAGCATTACTGTTAATAGCCTATCAACACAGTATTAACTTTGGGAATAGAATATGTGCATCAGATCTTGTGATGCATCACATTTCACAGTACGCCACGAGTTTTAGTTATTTCCTCTCTTCCCTTTTGCATGGCTGCTGGGAAGATTGCAGGTGGCAGGGCAGTTTGCATAGGTATTTTGCTATGTTGCCGTATGTAGTGGCATGCAGTAAAGGCACATCTGTCCAATGAAGGCTTGCCATGCACACTGTCATTGTCTCAGATTGATTGCTGACAGTATTGGCTGCAAGTCAGTTGTAGCTAAGAGGTGATCTGCAGCTGTAATCATTGGCTGGCTCCTACTGCTCCCAGTAAAATTTAGGAAGGCAGAGAGCTTCTTAAATGATGCCAGTGAAGTGTTATTGCCCTGATGTATTCCTAGAAATTTGCAAGTGATCTGAAGACTGTATCAGTTCAGTGCTTTCTTACTCTCCTCCCTTTCCCCCTTTCCTAGATGCCGTTGAACTTCCAGGTGAAACGCAGTGGGTGAAATTCAATGTAGACTCAAATGGTTTCTATATTGTACAGTATGCGGAAAAGGACTGGACTGCTCTAATTGACCTGCTGAAGACGGAGCCCACTGCTCTGAGTTCCAGAGACAGGGCCAATTTGATCCACAACATTTTTAATCTGGCAGGGTAATTCTTTAAAGTTATTACATTGAACTGTGATGTAAAAGGTAAAGGGTAAAGGGACCCCTGACTATTAGGTCCAGTCGTGACCGACTCTGGGGTTGCGGCGCTCCTCTCGCTTTATTGGCCGAGGGAGCTGGCATACAGCTTCCGGGTCATGTGGCCAGCATGACTAAGCCGCTTCTGACGAACCAGAGCAGCGCACGGAAACGCCGTTTACCTTCCCGCTGGAGCGGTACCTATTTATCTACTTGCACTTTGACGTGCTTTTGAACTGCTAGGTTGGCAGGAGCTGGGACTGAGCAACGGGAGCTCACCCCGTCACGGGGATTCGAACCGCCAACCTTCTGATCAGCAAGCCCTAGGCACTGTGGTTTAACCCACAGCGCCATCCGCTTCCCTCGAACTGTGATATATATGTCTGTGATATATCCGTCTTCAAATCCAGAGTCTTAAGAACAAACCTAGGAAAGGGGTGGGCAAGCTTTTCTGGCCCACGGGACATATTTTTATCTCCCCACCGCTGGTAGGCAAGGCTGCTCATCTGTCAGTCACCTGGAAGTCCAGGTTGTTGGGACTTCACTGTGCAGCAGTGGACTAGTTAAGAGCCTTTGGTTTCAGCACAATTCCATGCAAACCCCTTCTGATCCAGTAACTGGGTTTTCATGGAAAACCCTGCTAAAAGGGAGGTTTTTTCTTCTTCATTTTAGTAGATGATGCAGGGTTTAAATCCTTTTGCCTTGGCTTCATGTGCCTGGTTTTTGCTGGGAATGAATGCACACAGCCATTGCAGGATCTAACCCTTCCTTCTGTCCATCTGCTGTCACAAGCGGGCAGATGAGTGTGGTTGGGGGAAATGACCTTGTGGGTCAAACTGGACCGGCTGGTGGGCCAGAGGGATAAAGGAGAACCTTATCTAATCTGGATGTGTTCATTATTTTTTACCTTTTGTTATCCTAGATGTTCACTGTTGTGCATAACAAAACTCTTTAAGTATGAAATTGCAAAGGTTTTAGTTTAGGATCCTTCTGTTAAGGGCGAGAAATTGTGAGTTTGCAAGAAGAGTGAAAGATGCAGGAATTTAGTCCAGTGTTGTTTGATAGATCTTAACAGCACTTTTGGGGGCTTATCAATAGAATGTTATAATGAATCAAACTTATCATCTGTTATGGAGGTTTTGCCTCCAGAATAAATAAATAAATCTAATAATATGAAGAAATAAAGCAAATCCATTTTATATTTGAAGAATTTATATCCTGTACCACAAACAAGTTCTTTTACATTTGTTTAGACTTATCAGAATGCTTGACAGTATCTTCTTGTTGTTGTTTGTGATGCCCCCTTTAGATTAGGAAGGGTGTCTTTGGCCAAAGCCTTTGACCTGATTGAGTACCTAGTGAAAGAAAACAGCACTTCTCCAATCATACAAGCGTTGGACCAAATGAACCGTATCTTCAACCTAGTTGAAAAAAGAGGAATGCAGACCCTTTCAGCGAGAATATTGGTAAGTCACTGAAAGCAGGCAGGTGGTGGAAACTAGATATGAAGTTCATACTAGGGCAAAATAGTTTGTACTACATGGAAGGACCATTTCTAAATCATACTGTTTTGTTGTGGTTAGTGTTAGAATGTTGGATGGGTTGCTTATGAGCTTTCCATTTAAAAGCATGTTGTATTTTCTCAGTAGATGTAAATGCCATTTGTAACTTCTGAACCCCAAATGCAAAGAGATGGATACCTTAGATAAAATAGAATTATTATTATTATTGTTATTACCGTATTTTTCGCCCTATAGGACGCACCGGCCCATAGGACACACCTAGTTTTTTGGGGGGGAAATCAAGGAAAATTTTTTATTTCCCCCCCAGGTTTGCGCAGCCATCCCCAAGCTAGAAGAGGGCAACGGAGCGCTCCGTCTCCCTCTTCTGCCTTCAGGGACAGCCTCCCTAGCCTCTGTGGGGCAGCGGCTTGCCCCGCTGTCCCCCGAGCTTGTGGGGCTGGCGATGGGGAGAAGCAAGCTTGCTTCTCCCTCCCACCAGCCTCCAGACCAGGTCGGGGAATAGCGGGGTGGCGGCGCCATAGGCAGCATTCGCCCCATAGGACGCACACACATTTCCCCTTCATTTTTGGAGGAGAAAAAGTGCGTCCTATAGGGTGAAAAATACGGTATTATTATTATTATTATTATTATTATTATTAGGGTCCTCTTAAATTTGTAACCAGCTGTTTTCTGCTCTATAATCATATAGCAAAGGAGGAGAGCTTCTATTCGTGTCCATCCCAAACAAACCATTTAGTTTTTAAGGGGCCACAGCATTTTTGTCTAACATTTCAACCATGCAGAAAGCATACACCTTAACAATCAAATAATTTGGTTCCACATGAATCTGCTGATTATTATTATTCAGTGATAATGTGGAATATGTGCCTAGCAGAACTGTCACTGTTTCAGCTCATGAACTCTGCAAACCAGACAAATAAAAAAGATTTTACTGAAAGTGGGGTTGGGTAAAAAAAAAAAAGTCTATGAAAGTGAGTTAAAGATGGTGTGACTGGTTTTATGTGCCTTTTAATATAATTCATATAGATTTGAACTAGCCTATTGAGCCGCAGGTCATTCAAAGACTCATTGGGCTCATTTTGGTGCCAGTAGAGAATTGAGCACATGTAAGACAGTGAGGAAATTCTTTTCAGAACTGAATGGCAGACTTGCCAGAATGGAGCATTAGATACAGGAATGTTGCAAGGAGCTGTGTGATTTGGGGTATGTTTGCAGTTTATAGTCTTCAACCTAGCACAAGCGTGTTGTGACAGAGTTTGTATAGTGAAAACTTTTCCTCTTTATTCTACAGCATAAGATGTTACGACTATTTAAAGACAAGATTAATCAACAGAAATGGACAACTGATGGGACCCTTTCAGAACAAGAGCTGAAGTCAAGTTTGCTGACCTTTGCCTGCACCCATAATTTGGAAGACTGCAGCACGGATGCTACCAAGCTATTTAATGAATGGAAAGATTCCAATGGCACAAAAAGGTAAAACACAGACTTGCTCCTTGGTTCGAGCTGCCTCTTCTGTATTATGGCATTCAGAAATAGTTTTCTATTACATAGTCTCAATGTAGTCAAGCATCTTGCAGCCTGACGGGTTTAAATAGAAATATGGATCAGCATCTCTTGGAGCTGTGGTTTTGCTCCTTCAGGTGAGCTCCACGATTAAGCATTCTCCAGCTTTATATCAGGGGAAGAGAACCTGATCTGGCTTGTGGGCCAGATTCTCATCTCTTCATCTTCTCACAGACAATATATGAAAATTGGCTGGAGCAGCCTTCATGTCACCCACCTGACATCACAGTGGCATCAGGTGATGATCGTCGGGACTTGAACCGCCACACAGGGCTTGCAAAAAGCCCTCCGTGGTGCTTTCAAAGTCCTGCTGATCAAGCTTGAAGCCAACACTGATGGGCAATGAATTCAGGCCTGCTTCTGCAGGGATCAGCTATGCAATCCAGCTCCTCATGGATGTCTCTACTGCCTCACTCCTGATGATTCATAGGCTTCTTTGCAGCGGGTGGAGAAGCTTTGTGGTTCCATGGGCCAGATCCTTATCAGGATCTGCCACACGGGCCAAATTTGACAGATAAGTGGGACCTCCCACCTGTCAATCACATGTCATTTGGATAATAATAATAATAATAATAATAATAGGGACACGGGTGGCGCTGTGGGTTAAACCACAGAGCCTAGGACTTGCCGATCAGAGGGTCGGCGGTTCGAATCCCCACAATGGGGTGAGCTCCCGTTGCTCGGTCCCTGCTCCTGCCAACCTAGCAGTTTGAAAGCACATCAAAGTACAAGTAGATAAATAGGTACCGCTCTGGCGGGAAGGTAAACGGCGTTTCCGTGCGCTGCTCTGGTTCACCAGAAGTGGCTTAGTCATGCTGGCCACATGACCCGGAAGCTGTACGCCGGCTCCCTCGGCCAATAAAGCGAGATGAGCGCTGCAACCCCAAAGTCGGCCACGACTGGACCTAATGGTCAGGGGTCCCTTTACCTTTACTACTACTACTACTACTACTACTACTACTACTAATTTTATTATTTATACCCCACCCATCTGGCTGAGTTTCCCCAGCCACTGTTGGATCACTTGCACACTTAAAACTCCCAAGGAACCGTGTGGAGATGTGCAAAAGACTTTGCATATCTCCCCACATTTCCTCTTTAAACCCTGCTTGTTGGAGGTTTAAAGGGGCAGAGCACACAGACTTGCAAAGGCTTTAAGGCAGCCTCCACCCTCCCATTTGAGCTTCTGGAGGCTCAGGCCAGGAGCAAGGGAGCTGTCTTAAAGCCCTGTGGAAAAGCGCTGTTTGCAGTAGCCACCTCCCCTTCATTGAAATGTGGGAGAGAGTTACCCCTCACACAACTGCCCACCTGCTCGCAGCAATGGCTAGCGGAGAAGTGGTGAGGAACGGTTGCTTAGCAGAGAGCTGGTCCTTTGCAAAAGTGCTCTTTATAGCAGCTCTGCTTTTCCTTTAAGCGAGTGGGTGGTGATGGGGAGTGTCCCCCCCTCACTTCTGCCACACAACACACACATACTGACTAAAGGAGAAGTCCAAAGGGTTTTCATCCCTGATAAGCAGTGGCTAAATCCTCCTGCCTTGGCTGCTATATCCTATTCTGTGCTTGGAACAGGGCACACAGCCATTGTAGGATCCCTGTCCTCCCACTCATCGGACGACTTCAAATTAGCCCCTTGGTTAAGGACTTACTGAGATAAGCCATGGTTCATATCATGTTAGCTAGTGCTTTGATGTGACTTACTCTTTTTAGGCTGTTCTTATAAAGGTTTGCACTTTCTCTCTGTAGCCTGCCAACAGATGTTATGAAGATCATATTCACAGCCGGAGCAAAAACTGAAAGTGGCTGGAACTATCTTTTAAGCATGTATGCTTATTTGGTGTCTGAACCAGAAAAGCTCAAAATCCTTGAAGCATTGGCCAGCGCAGATGATGTTAAAAAACTGATATGGTATGAAGCCGCATATATTACACGTGTAATAATAAAGAAAATCCTAAGAGCAATTTCTATATGTCACTGTAAAAGGAAGTCTAAAAAAATATGTGCAGCATTTAACACACCTTCCCTTCTTTGACCTTTTGCACTGACAAGAGAGATTTCACTCATTGACTTTAATGTCAGGGCAAGTTTTGACTTGGCAGCAGCTGTATGTGGGGTGTGTGTGTGTGTGCTTTCTCTCTTTGCTTTATGGACATGTGTTATACATTGCTTCAAAACTTGAGATTACAAGTTACCTTTTCTTGTGCTGTCCTTCCTTGAAATATTTAGGTATACTTGTAGGAACAAATTTCTAGAATAAAGCGTTTAATGGACTCATAGAATTGTAAAGTTGGAAGGGACCACCAGGGTCATCTAGTCCAGTGTTTCCCAACCTTGGGCCTCCAGCTGTTTTTGGACTACAACTCCCATCATCCCTAGCTAGCAAGACCAGTGGTCAGGGATGATGGGAATTGTAGTTCAAAAACAGCTGGAGGCCCAAGGTTGGGAAACACTGATCTAGTCCAACCCCCTGCGACGCATGTTTTATCCAACATGAGACTCGAACTCACGACCCTTCCAGAAAGTTTTTCACTTTTCAGTTCGAAAAACATATGCTTCTAATTTCCAGTTGCAAGGTTACTGAGGTGTTTTTTTCAAAGTTTCTGTATTTCACTTTTTGTCCAATGAGCATAAAAAAGTTTCCACTAGTTCCAGCAGTAGGCAGCCTGATAAAAAACCACACATTTTATACGACATCCCAGCTAAAGGGTGGTTCAGATTTCTTTGCTGAATGAATGGACAGGTAGTATTTGCATATACAAGCATAGACATTTTTAGCTGTGAGGTGGCCCCTCATTGGCCCTGCCCCTTTGCAGTATCTGTTATAAATTGTCTAGATCTCTGAAAAGAATGCACATGTGCATATAATCTGACTCTGTTTTGCTTCATAGGTTAATGCAAACAAGCCTGGAAGGAAGCATCATCAGATCGCAGGATCTTCCAACTGTTATAACAACAGCCAGTCAGAATTTGCCTGGACACTTACTAGCATGGGATTTCGTTAAGGAGAACTGGGATCAGCTTATAAGGAAGTAAGGCTTTCCTTGAGTTCTTGTAATAAAATTCTGTCTTTATCCTTCCTTCTGCTACACACAAGGAGAGAGAGACGTGTACATATAAAACAGGATTTTTACTGGCACTAAATAAGCATGCCGTTCAGGTCTTGCCCTAGTGCTTTGGGTGCCCTTGTCGTTGCTGTTTAGAATAAACACCTACTGAATAAAAGATTTCAGCACTATAGCATGTGCTACGTGGAGACTTGCTGGGTTGCTGAAGCTGCATGCAAATCACAGTAAGTCACCAAAAGCACATTTCACTGCTACTTGAGTCTTTTACTTCTTTTGAAACACCTTAAAGCACCTCAAAAACTCAACAAATTTATTGTGGCATAAGCATTCCTGAACTACAGTCCCATTTCACCATACTCGTGAAGTTTCAAGCACAGGGCCGGGGGTAGATCAGAAGGAGAAGAAATGCTGGAAAGTGCAGGCACTCACGTTTCTGAATTGTGGTTTATCATTCTTTGTGCCACTTTAATTTCTTTGGTGCCCCCGGTATAATTAACCTGTTGTCTTTTGATCTATAAAAGGAGTTGTTCTCAGTGTGTGCTCTCTGGCTTTGTTCCTTATCCTCTGGAATTGTGAAAAACACTGAACTTATCTGACCAGAGCCTTATTTTAGTTGAATACTGAGCCACTTTTAGTTTTGGGGTTCACCTGAGCAGGATTCTGCCTAAGCCACCCCAATTGTTGCACGGATCTCAAAGGCAATTCGGGTTGATTTGGATGCTTAAAAACCTGTGCAAGGCTGCCTTTCATGAAAACCATTGCAGCTATCCTTTGGCAATGTGATAGGACTTGTACCTTCAAAAGAACTGTCATGCCTGCAGATTTCGCCCCATTCTGCCAAAAAAGAAAGTTGTAGACCATCCATTTTGGAAAAAATAATAATGCATAGATAAAACACCAAAGGTGCTCTGTAGGTCCATAATTAGGTAGGCTTCATCTACTTAGGAGGGGCTACTGTGACTATCAATTTCATCTAATTCTTTCAAAAGGGAAAAAGTTATAGCCCTTTTTTAAAAAGCCCCCAAATGGGAGAAGCACAATGCAGAGGGTTTTTTTTTCTTTTTCAAATTAGGTATCAGATTTGGATCCCGAGATTAATCAGAGAGCCTTCAAAGTGCTTTGGGCCAATTCATACTGTTTTCTGGAGCATTGAATCAAGGTCCAAACGGTGTCTAGCATAGTCAGTGCACACCATTGCTTACTTTGTATGTCTAGTAGTTTAGTGACCAGGAGTAACAGATTTCTTTAAATGCTGATCACTTTTAAGAACATTAAATACTGTAATTCACCATGAGCTTCCAAAATAGGTAAGGCACGAATTGAGTTAAATATGCTTTGAATAAACGTTTGATTCATTCTCCTAAACTTCAGGTTTCACCGTGGATCATACACCATGCAAAGTATTGTGATTGCGACAACTTGTCAGTTCTCAACACAAGAACATCTGCTTGAGGTTTGTTTGAATAAAGTATTCTGAAGAGTGTTGGGGGGGGAATTATAAAATAGAAGCTGGAACATTACATATTGTTCTATTACTGCTGGCTTTTAGTAGCTGTGTGTTCTTGGTACACAGCAATGTGGAAGATGACATTTAAAGTTCGAGAAACCACTGCTGGTGAGTTAACTGCCTTTAATCACACAAGTAAAACAAGGAGTTAATTAAGCTTAAGGTTAATTAGTCATCTAATCCAACCTCCTGCTAATGCAGGAAATCTGTTCCTCCATCCCTGATGGATGGCTATCCCAGCCGCTCAAAAGCATCAAATATAATAGAGTCTACCACCTTCTGAGACAGCCTCTTACGTCAGGAAGTTATTCCAAATGTTTACGAAAAAGGGGGATTTCAATAAATAGTTTGGGTTTTTAAAATTTACTTGGTATGCATTGGTGTAACTAGGACTAAACTAGAATAGGCAGATTGTCCAAGTCTTAAATGAAGGCTCCTCCTCGCCACCAACCCCACTGTTGTGCCACTTGGAAGCACAGGGGCGAAGTTAGTTTTTTTTAATTGTCCTTACATTTTCCTGTTACGTGCGTTGCTTCTGCAGGTTAAGACATTCTTCGAATCCAAGTCGGAGGAGACTGCTCAGCTACGGTTTGTTCGAGAGGCCATTGAGAGGATTCAGCTGAATATCCAGTGGATGGAGAAGAACTTGGAGACGCTGGAAAAATTGCTATAGTGATCGCATCCACCAGAGTCCGCAATAGCCACTTAGAATGTGGCAGTTTTTGCTCTTTTGTCCAAAAAGGGGCGTGTGCGAAAAGGGACAGTGCAACTTGCTTTGCGCTGCGAGGGTTAGAGTTAGCTCAGGGTACATCTCTTAAGTTGGCGCTCTTTGCAGTGCTTGTAGACGAGAGAGAGTTGCTAATCTAAGGGAATGTTCGTTCATTGACCAAACATTCACGCAAAACAAAGACAGTAACTTGTCATGGAGCCTCCATTCCATCATAGGAAAATCCAGTTCTACTTTCTACATATTGAATGAAAGTTGAACAACAGCAACAAAAAAAGAGCAGCAAAACGAGAACTCTCCTGTGATCTGTTTTCTCTCTTTGCAGGGTGCTGTCTAAACAGACTTCCTCAATGTCTGTAGCTTCTTGAATGGTAAATACTGTACCCACTCTGAAGCACGTTTTAAAAAAAAACGATTATAAGCAGCTGCTAAGACACACAATATGGAAGTGAACAACTAAAGTGAAAATGTTGGATTTTGGGAAGCTCTGAGTTTCGTTTTATCAAAGTAATTTCTAGACATTATGCAAATATCAGAAATAATATAATTATTGGTAGAAATCTCTTATTTTTGTCTGCAACATGGCTGGGTGCTACCAGTGCCACGTAGTGAACAGCTTTTTTTGCAAATAGCTTTGTGAGGGGAGTTTTCAGTGTGCAATTGATCAGAGTAAAACCCCAAAGATTTTGACTCCTATCTCATTAGGGTACTTATAAAAAAACCCAGTTTCCATTGGTGTTTGGCTGACACTATAGAACAGAGTGTTCTGATTGTTCTGGTTGATTTGATGTTTTTTAAATACTGATTTGACTTCATATACTTCTTCCAGAGGATCCTCATGCTGTGGAACCTTATTAATCTCCAATATTTAAGTGCTATAGCGCTCCACTTTTCTATGTTATATTAGCCCAATAGAGTAAAACTCACTTCATTTCCTCGTAAGTTGTCCCATGATTTAGAAACAGCTGATAATATAACTTTAGAGCAAATGAGCCAAACTAAGGGAAGTGGCCAAAGGTTGTGCGGTCTCAGTTTTTGAAACAGCTTTGGGCTACTATGAAAAAAGTCATGATAATTTGTTCAAGAGAAGCATTCAGAACTTACCACACCATAGTTTTATTTTGCAGAGCTTTCAGTGCGTATCTCCTCTGCGTTGATTTCACAATAAATGCAGGGAAATAATGGCTTTTTCAGATACGTTGAAATTTGCAACAAGAGGAGAAAAATAATTGTATACATTAAGGTAATAAAGATTTAATACTTCTGGGTCTCTAGTAGGCTGAAGTAGAAATTCATCAATTTCTGCTTCACTTTCTAAAATGGCCTCAGAGCTTCTCATCTTTCAGTGGAAAACATTACTGTGCATTCATTCTTTGATTGGGAGGAGATAATTATTGTCATGAACTATGGTTGATGGTTAGTGCTTGAATGGCTTTGCTTTCTCCCCTCTTTCTGGCCTGTAGTCCACTCCTGCGACTTCACCCCTTTCATTTTTCTTTCATATAGTAGTACTGATGGTCAAGATTCTGTTACTTCCCTTTTTGTTTAAGGGCAGGGAGTCACTTGAGGCTGTCCTCTATTTATATATAGATGCGCTTGCTACTGGAAATGTGAAATGTACTTGAAAATATAGTGCACCTGCCTTCTAGAATTAAGACTGTATTGTTTAAATTAAAGCGCTGTTGGATTAAGAGTATTTTTCAATTATTTATTTTTTAAATAATGGGTTTTGGAATGTGTGACATTTTCTATTTAAACAATATTAATCAAACTTGTCTGGACCTAGGATTCAGTCTGTAGGAGAAGCTATAAAAACTCGTCAATCTTCCAGAAAATACTAGTGAGATCAAGGTTTAATGCCAACTGCTGGGTACCATAATTACTTCACTGCAAACTGGAGGGATTAGAATCCTCCCCCCATTTTATTTTATTTTTTGTAAATTCAAGCTGTAAGTGGCAGCTCACAGGTATTGTATCTTGTTTTAACCTAATCTTAATCTGTTTTGTGGTGTCTCTTTCAGGAGAAAAATGCACTGTAGTAATAGAGTATATATTTTCACTAGCTGAATTATATGTGGAGTTAAAGAGTTTTCTACTGTGTTTAAGAGAAATCTAGGGCTAATGTCTAGTTTGGGTGTATTCCTTCTTTATGGTAAATTTTCTGTTCCGTTAAAGTAATTGACTTCAAATTGTGTTCGAGATTCATTTTGTTAAGATTGTTTTTCTAAAAGCAATCACCTCGGTGTAGAAATATAGTTTAGAAATTTGAAAACTGTGTGTGCCCCCCCCTTGTTATTCAAATACTGAATTTAATTTTAAGCTTTTCTTTGAGGATCTTGTATGAAAAGAATCTGAATGGTATCGATCTTGGTTGTGCTTTTCAATCAAATAGTAATGATTCATGTGCCTTAGAGTATATTGTAATGATTGCACAAGGAATATGTTAATGATATATAAAAGGATGTCGGTTTATTTAAAAACCCTCCATTCACAATATTTTACTGCTACAGAAATGTGTAATTATATGCATACTCGGTGATAGGAAAACCATTCAGAAGTACTTTCTGGTTCTTTTGAGACTGGGAGTCAAGGAACATAATTCACATTTCTGTGGTGCTCCATTGTGCAGCCACAGAGCTTTTACACCATGCAGTGAATTGCCTGTTCTCTTCAGTGTTAGGAAATGTGTTGTGCACATGACACTGGAAACATAGAAGTATGCTTTTTTTGCTATGTATGCATCCAAGCCCTGGATTTGGGGGATTGTAACGAAATAGGCTTCCATCCAAATCGTCTGGCTTAGCCAATTTATAGGTCGCACCTCCAGCTGTTTTGTCTTCGCACAATTTAAGCACAACTTCAATGTTACATAGTTAGACTTACTGCCGCCCCCCTTGGGTAAACGTTATCCAGCTATTTAAAGATAAATACACACATAGAAACATGTATCTACCATGTATGTACCCACACACCTAATGTTCACAAATAGAGAGTTTATCTTCTGTACATCTTCTTTAAATGAAAACCAGATGCCCATTGTTCCAGTGATGTTCACCCATTTAGTGTGATGTCTTATAAACATACAGCTGTATTCACCTAGGTTCCTCTTTCAGATTTTGGGGGTTGAGGTTAGCAGAGCATGCAACGTTGCGAAAGGGCTGCCAACCACAGTCCTCCTCTGCCCCCCACGAGCTTAATGAAAGCAGGATGGGGGTTGTGTGTAAAAAGCTTAAGACTCAATTACTTAGAACCAACTGGCGACAGCCATTTATCAGCTTTTTGTGTGTGGTGAGGTGAATGGCACAAAAAAAGTCCCATCTCTCCTACCGCCTTCGGATTGCGGCTTCCACATGTCACCAGGCTCAAACATTAGGATTTTATCATGCAGAATTGTACCCTCAGAAACAAAGGGGAAACGTGTGGCACTTATAAACAAGTTTTGACGCAATATCTAAAAAACATTTGTGTTTTGAGCTCCTGTGCAAACTTCATGTAATTCTGGAAAATGCTGCACGAATATCCGTACACACTTAAAGCTTCTGAACGGGTGGAGAACTTTGGAGGGGAAAGATGTGCTGCGTTCTTTAGAATTTCCTGAAGCGGTCACAGTAGCTTGAAACACACCAAATGTTCTTAGAGAAATCTACATTCAAGTTGTTTATAAGTGCCTTGAAACACCCCGTCTGTGTGTCTTTATCGTTAGATACAATTCAGGAAAGGGAGGGATACACAGAATATAGGATATCTGAAATCTCCTCTAGCTAAAGCAGTGGTACATAGTCTCTCAGAAGCATCAAGCTGCTTATATTTGCAGCATCAGCTTGGCTGAAGTTAATCTCACAAAGCTGCTGCATATACCTGCATTTTAACTGTAAAATCTGTATCTTTCTAGCTGTGTGAGTGAGGCGTGGGGATGTAGGGATGGATATGGCAGGTTTGTAATGGATCCTGTTGCTTAAAAATGTTGCCTCCCCCATTACATCTTGCCATATGTGAAATCAGGCGTTCATTGTAAGGATAATACTCTTAAGGAATGTGGCCTTAATTTTTCCTTACTAGCACCATGCTGCAGGATGCTGACCTTTGAGCTGATTTTGTATTTATATTGCTGTGTATCTTTCACCTGTTCTCCATTAGAACATTCCTCCTCCTGATAGATTGGCTTTCTTAAATCTCTTCTGGAAGATGTTATCTTTCATTGCACTCTGAAATTTAAAAGGTTGCCTCATTTAAGTGTATGCTTTGTATGCATTTCATGAACTGAAACTCCAGTGAATTTTTAGATACGTCTTCCTTAATTTCAGTTTCAAAGGCTTTGCTTAGATGCATAAAATAATTCCTCTTCCACCCCCATGCACACACTTTTTTTTAATGCATGGATAAACTCTGCTTTGTTCTGATGCTCCTAAATGTTTACAATGTTTTATCCTTTGTTTAATGAAATGTTTAAAGTTCTAGCCACCTTAAAAAGAATACATTTTTTGCCATATTAAGTTCTCAGGTCTTAGCCTTCAATAACTTAAACCTCCTAGAATTGCTGCGTTACTTAAACCTGCTGTTTTGAAGTAGAAATTCAGATCTTTGCACATGACAACATCTCTTTGATCAAAAGCAATGGTCTGGCATCTTTTTTAAGTTAGTCATGGCACCATGTAGCAAATTACTGTAAAAATCTAAAATAGTTACCTTTTTAAAATTGGAATGAATGATGGAGTCTGAAGTCTTTTAATTTGCAAAGTCTTCAGAAAAAGAAAGAGTGGATTTGAGAGTAAATTTGCACCAGATCCGTAGTTATATTGATAACAAGAAGTTGGCTTTAATAATGGCAACATCAAAGTATTTCTGGAATATCAACTGCAACAGGAATTTTTTCAAACATTGCATAGTAAAAGAGTAAAAGACCCAAATTGTAGAATATTACCTTGAGGAGAAGGATTTTTGAAAATGGTGTGCATATGTACATGAATAAGCGTTATATGCAAATTTTTGGTTTTCCTTAATTTGTAAAGGAGAAATAAAGCCTATTTTCTTATATTTAAAATAAAAATGGTGTGCATATAATGAGCACTGATTGAAGGGCATGTGTATTGCAAACACTGTTGCGTTTTATTTTATTTTTGGTGAAATGAAAATAAAATCTTTTAAATACAAACGTATGTGACTTTCATCTAGCTTTATCCTGATTCCTCAGGTGTATTTAACAGGATTTCAGCTGAGACTTTGGACTTCTTTCTACATCGTTCAACACATTCTAAACCAGGGAGGTCTAACCTGTGTCCCTCCCAGGTATTGGACTCAAATTCTGTCTTCCCAAACCCATCACTTGGCTAGGACTGATGGGAGCTGGAGCTAAGCGATGTCTGGAGTACCACAAGTTATTCACCCATGCTCTACATTCTGCAATATTTAATGGGCTGAAATATTTCAGTTGTTCAGGTGGCAAGGTCCCTCCTCTAAGATGCAGGAGCTGTGGCTTGTTCTAGACTCATAAAGCAAGGGCACAAGGAGTGTGACATCTTGAGCCTTTCTATGTTCTGGGTGTTGTAGAATCTGTTAAGAACAGCTGTACAGCTATCTGTATTCAGCAATACACCCTAGTCAAAAGGATGAACTGTTTCAACTGAGTGCTGTGTTGAAAGCACACATTTTTTAAAAAGCATTGAGAAATTTGCATTTGAAAGTTATCAAAGGGGAAGAGAACATTTCTGAAACTTTCAGGGTACAGGAGTTTTAGTCTGCTTTGCTTCCTTTCAAAGGTGCCCTATTTTATCTACAAATTGTATCCCCAATGTTTACACTGCAGTCTTCCTGGGGCTTGTATTTTCTGAAAACCCTCACTGGGCTTTACTGCATGTGCAGAAGTCAGGGATGTTATCTGCTATGTACCTGGCCACTGTGGGTGAGTCCCCACCCTGAATTTTATTTTTTTTAAAAATGCTGAGAGATTTAGAAAATAAAATAAAAATGACATTCCGAACAAAATCTGAGGATACTGATCTCGGGTGCTCCAAAGCTACTTCCCTCCCCAGCTTGTAGTTTGATTAAAACCCAGGAGAGGATAGCATGAAGTAGCATCCCATGGTGATTTTTGAGATCAGGAAGCATAGGCCTGAGGCTACAATGTGCTAGGGAAAAACACACCTTTTAATAGAAGAAAGATCCCCTGCCATTAATACCTGAGGGGATCGCCTTTGCCCCATATACCCCTGCCTGATGATTTAATTTCTAAAATAAGGCATTGTTAATAGATCTGCATGCCTGACGTCAAGTAGAAACGCCACCCTTTAAGGTTGTGCTTCCAGCTTTATGGAATTTTTGCTTTTAGATGGCTATTGAAACCTGACATTTCAAAGCGCGCTTACGCCAAATATTTTATATTGTATGCTTATAAGAAATGTGTGTAATTAGGATTTTTAAAAAGATAGTTAAAGGATACAGTGGTACCTCGGGTTACATACACTTCAGGTTACAGACTCCGCTAACCCAGAAATAGTGCTTCAGGTTAAGAATTTTGCTTCAGGATGAGAACAGAAATTGTGCTCTGGCGGTGCGGCAGCAGCAGGAGGCCCCATTAGCTAAAGTGGTGCTTCAGGTTAAGAACAGTTTCAGTTTAAATACAGACCTCCAGAACGAATTAAGTACTTAACCCGAGGTACCACTGTATTTCATTTTCACTATATATGTTGTCTTATATTT